ACAAAGGAACGCCGAAAACCAAAGACGCGCCGAAAACCAAAGGGACGCCGAAAACCAAAAGCGCCGAAAACCAAAAGCACGCCGAAAACCAAAGAGGAGCCGAAACCCAGAAGGGCGCTGAAAACCAAAAAGACGCCGAACACGAAAGTGGCGCCGAGCATCAGAAGGGCGCCCAAAACCCGAAACGCACCGAAGAGCAACAATGTGCCGAAAACCAATAAAAAAGAGCGCCGAAAACTAAAGGAGCTCCGAAAACCAAAGGAGGATCCAAACCGAAGAGGCACCGAAAACCAAAAGGGCTCCGAAAACCAAAAGGGCTTCAAACACCAAAGGAGCGCGGAAAACTCAAGAGGCGCCGAAAACCAAAGGGGGGCCGAAAACCATCATCATTACCATCATCACCATCATCATCATCATCAGCAGCATCATCATTATCATTATTATCATCATTATCATCAGCACCACCATTATCATCACCATCATCATCAGCGCCATCATCATCGTCACAACCACAACCACCATCACCATCGTCAGAATCAGCATCATCATCTTCATCACCATCGCCGCAACAATTACAAACATAATCATCATCAAACGCATTATCCTGCGTCGTCGCTCTCCCCCTCTTCTTTCTCTTCCTCCCCCTCCTCCTCTTCCTCCCCCTCCTCCTCCTCCTCCTCCTCCTCCCCCTCCTCCTCCGTTCTGTCCGCTGTCGACCATGCCGACGAGGAGCGACGACGGCGACGACGACAGCGGGCGTCTCGGATGCAGGGGCATGTTGCCTCCCCCCTCCGGGCACGTACCTTTACGTTCACACAGTTCGGCGCTTGCAATGAGGTTCCTCGCTTGCGGACCCGCCGTGGCACCAACACACGTGAAAACGCGCGCTCCGCGCGCACGCGCCAGGCGCATGTTGGGCCCCCCCCCCCTCTGTTGGCCCAAGCCTTCGCGCTTGTAGTTTTACATGCGAAGAAATCACCACCCCCCAAATTGGCTCCCCCTGGGGCCCCGCAGACACGTGAAAACAGATGCCCCGCGCGCACGCCCCAGGGGCATGTTGCCCTCCCTTCGCGTACGTATGTTTACGTGCGAAAAACTCGCCATCTGCAAGTTGGGTCCCTCGCTTGCGGCCCCATCGTGGCCCGAAACGCGTGAACACACACATACTATGCACGCACGCGCCTGGCATGTTGGGCCCCCTTTGCAAAACCCCCAACTAATCATGTGTCAGTAAACATAAGCACACATATATATATATATAAATCATACTTATTCCGTCGGAGGCGACGGAATGAGATCGCAATGGAATGGACAGCCCGCCACCGGGAAATCGGTTTCGGTGTCGTGTTCATGTCGTACGTGCGGGCGAGACGAAGCTGCGTAGGCGGGCGAAAAAGAATGAACCTTCCTCTGGCTAGGGCGCCGCCGGGCCAAAAGACCGCCCGCCCCTGGGTCGTCTGGCGTTTGCTGGGGGTGTCCCGACGTGGTGTCCCGATGGTGTTCCATGGTGTCCGTGTCCTTTCGGTGTCCCGTCGGTGAGATCTATAGCGGGATCGATCGTAAGATGGATAATGCGACCGACCGTGAAACCGATCGTGACATCGATAGTGGCATCGATCGTAAGGCCGATATTCGAATCAGTAGTTGTATCGGTAATGAAATCGATAGTGGGATCGCCCGTCTGATCGATAGTGAGATCGATATTGAGGTCGATAGTGGGATCGGTAGTACTATGATTAATGTAATCGATTGTGAGATCGGTCGTATGATATTGGTGATGAGGAAGATCGTGATGTCCCGTCGGTGTCCCGTAGTGAGATCGGTCGTGAGATCGATCGTGGAATCGGTTGTGGGACTGATAGTGAAACCGATGGTGAGATCGATAGTGAGATCGATGGTGCGGTCGATAATGATATCGATGTTGGTATCGATGGTAAGATCGACAATGAGATTAATCGTACGATTTACAATGCGATCGATCGTGAGGGCGATAGTGAGGTCGATAATACGATGCAGACTGAGATCGATTGTGAGATCGATCGTGTGAGATCGATAGTGATGTCCAATCGGTGTCCCATAGTCAGGTTTTGCCACCTTGCCACCCGTGGCCGCTTCATGCGCTGGGTGGGTCCAGCGAAATTTCGCCTCGTCCCCGCCCTTTGCCGCCTCGATGCCACACATAGCTTGCGCCAGGTGCGTCACATAGCTTGCCCAACTTAGCTTGAACCACGTAGCTTCATATCAACAAGGCCACATATTACTGTTCGGGATGCACGCTGGCCTATACATATGTACATAGAGATGTGCCATCTACAGAGGCACAATTACAAGTCATACGTACTTGACCGGAGGCGATGGAATGATATCGCGGGGGAACGGAGGCACCTCACCGTGAAATCGGTCGCGGTTTCATGCTCATGTCTTGCGTGCGGGCGAAACGAAGCTGCGTAGGCGGGCGAGAATAATGAGCCCTCCTCTGACTAGGGCGCCGCCGGGCCAAAGACCGCCCCCCCCTGTGGGTCGTCTGGCGGTTGCTGGGGGTGTCCCGCCGTGGTGTCGAGATGGTGTGCCGTGGTGTCCCGTGGTGGCCCGTCGGTGTCCTGTCTGTGCCATGTAATGAGATCTATAGTGGGATCGATCGTACAATGGATAGTGATACCGATGGTGAGGCAAACAATGAGTTCGATAGTGAGATCGATCGTGAGGTCGATAATGCAACCGATAGTGCGATCGGTCGTGAGATCGATGGTTGGATCGATGGTAATATCGGTAGTGAGATCGATATTGAGGTCGCTCGCGAGTTCAATAATAAGATGCATAGTGAGATCGCTTGTGAGATTGATCGTATAATATCGACATTGCTATCGATAGTGATGTCCCGTCGTTGTCCCGTAGTGAAATCGATAGTGAGACCAATAGTGGGACCGAACGTGAGATCGATAGTGAGATTGATAATGAGTTCGATCGTGAGATCAACAGTGGGATCGATTGAATGAGAAGCTTGTTCCTACCCCCGGGTCTCCTTCTTATCCGAAGGGTGGTCGTACAAGTATCGGAGGTTGGGGGGTGAGATCGAAGTGGAACGGAGAGCCCCTCACCGGGAAATCGGTTTCGGTTTCGTGTCGTGCGTGCGGGCGAATCGAAGCTGTGTGGACGGGCGAAAGAAATGAACCTTCCTCTGGCTATAGGGCGCCGCCAGGCCAAACGACGCCCCCCCCCGGCGGTTGCCAGGGGTGTCCGGTCGTGGTGTCCCGATGGTGTCCCATGGTGTTTCGTGGTGCCCCGCGGTGTCCCCATGATGTTCGGATCGTGTCTTGGTGGTGTCTTGGTGGTGTCCCGATGGCTTCCCGATGGTGTTCAGATGGTGTCCCGTTGGTGTCCCGATGGTGTCCCGATGGTGTCCAGTGGTGTTCTGTGGTGTCCCGCGGTGCCTCGATGGTGCCCCGGTGGTATCTCGATGGTTTCCCGATGGTGTCCCAGTGGTGTCCCGATGGTGTCCCCAGGGTGTCCCGATTGTGTCCCGATGGTGTCCCGATTGGTGTCCCGATTGGTGTCCCGATGGCGTCCCGATGGTGTCCTGGTGGTGTCTGGATGGCGTCCCGAAGGTGTCCCGCGATGCCCCGATGGTGTCTCGATGGGTCTGCGAGCGGAAAAACTCGCAGACAAAGAAATGCCACCTCGAAGCTGGGGAGCCCAGTCTCTGCCAGGTGACTTCTCCGTTGTGGGCCACGCGTCGCCAGGCCACGCTCGGCTCTGAAGACCGCCCGGATCTGGCAGTGCGCAGGGTTGCCGGGGCTAAATCAATGCCACCGAGAGTGCCCATTGTTGCCGCGAGGACCCATGGGCCAAATGAATGCCACCACGAGCGAGAGGAACAGGACATCCCACTTTGAAGCTCAGTGGCTTTCGTGGGTGTCACGCCAGCGTCGTCTTCACGCACCGTCGTCCATTCGTTAGCGCACCACCTGCATCGTAATCATTACAATCATCGCAGCTGTCATCAGTTGGTTCCTCCCCCCGCGACCTCCTTAGCACCCGAAGGGTGGTCGTATAGGTATGTATATCGTATCCACCACCGTGACCTCAGGCACAAATTGGAATGTCATCGGGTCCCTGGAACCCTTCGTACCAAATCTTGAGGTGAGCATTTAAGGACCCGGATCCGCCCAAGAGCGCTCCAAGAGCCCTCCCCAAAGGGCCCAAGAGATTAGAGTGATTTATTTTTCAAGCAGGTGTTCGAAGAACTTTTGCGTTCTGGCCTTCTCGGGCTCTCGACGCTCCAAAACGGCTCAAGAGGCCCCTCATATTGCCCCAACATGCGGGGACAGCAAGCGACCACAACCAGATCGAGGGCGCACCATGGGGGATGCTCTGCGCATGCCAAGCATCGTCAGAACACCGAAACCAGCTTAGTACTGGTTGTGGTCGCGTGGGCTTCTCAAACGCCCAGATCGATCACAACCACAACCAAAGTGTACGCGTCGAGGTCGGTGGGTTCTCCCCCGAGGAGCCTTCCAGGAAACCAACATCAGTTGTGATCGTAGAGGCATCCTAGATGGGGTCGGAGTAGATGGGGTCGGAGGATCGCGCCGCATCGCTGATACATCGGCGATGCTTCGGTGATGCATCGCCGGTGCATCACAATCTGGCCCCACATCGAGCCGCATCGGCGATGCATCAGCGATGCGGCCCGACCCTCCGACCCCATCCACTCGGACCCCATCTCGGAGGTCCAGATGTTGTAGTTTTGACTGGTGCGCAGACACAGAGGCCCATGGGCTCCCAAGAGAGCTCCAAGACGGCACGAGTCTCCACCTTCGTATGCCTTGGGACTCAGCGGAGCGCGGTCTGACGCGGCTCTCACGATCTTGCGCCCCCAGGACTGATACGGGGGCCGGCGGAGAGCCTTCGTGCAGACACGAACAGGACACTTCGCCCTCCCGGGTGCTGCCAAACATCTTGTGTGGGTTGGGTGCGCCACGCTTTTCTTGTTGGCCGGCCTCGTCGTCGGCGAGCTGCCTTTCGCACCGCTGAGGCTGTCCATATCCAGCCTTTGGAATCCTGCCGCGGGTCCCGGAGGAGCGGTCGACATGGATGCTTTGCCGCCGCATGGGCGGACGGATATCCATACCCACCACTCCAGGAATGGGCCCTGGGGCACGACATCGAAGCGATGGACATGGACCCAGACATGCGATGTCCTGATTGTTCAATACGCTGTTCCTGGAAGTCGCGGCGCCAATTTTTCATCCCGAGTCGTTTGTTGACGGTCCCGGAACCTGTCAAGGGACTCAGGAAAAGGATTTCTTTACTATAAAACATCAAGCCATCCAGATTTTTGGTCAGGACGTTTAATGTCTGGGGATACATTCTGGCGGTGGACCTCGCGGGCAGAAGGTCGGCTGGGATATCCGCGCTGCCATGTCCAGCCCAGCAGTTCCTCCTCTCATGTAGCTCCCAGCCCGCCCTGCGCGTGATCCTGTCGACGCGGTCGCGGACGGAGCCGTACAGCCAGGTATCGGAGGCATTGTCCTCGGGCCGCGAGGGTGAGATGACGCATTTTGTTTGTGCTCTCGATTCTCGGGCGTGAGTGCTTATGGGAGGCTGCCCCTCGTCGGACGTCTCCGTGGAGGGAGGAGGAGGAAGAGGGAGGATGGAGAAACCAAGGGGGGGAGGACGGAGGAAGGGAGGAGAGAGCGAGGAAAGAGGAACACGAGGAGGATGAGGAGGGATGAAGAGGGAGGAGGGGGCAGGAGGAGTTGACGGAGGCGAATCACAAAAATGCAATCACAAGGGGAGGGCGGCATCCGCACGGCAACGCGCCCTCTGAACGCACGAGGCCTTCGTGCCGTCGTGCGCAATGCGGTTTTGGAGAGAGGGTGATCAAGATGATTATGCTGCTAACGTTGATGTTGTTAATGTTGATGATAATGCTGGTGACGATGATGAATTGGATGATGAACAGGCGGATGATGATGCTGATGATGATGGTGGTGATGATGCTGCTGATAATGATTATGCTGCTGATGATGCTGGTGCTGATGATGCTACGGTGGGTGATGATGATGGTGGTGATGATGATGGCGATGCTGATGATGAGGATGCGGATGGTAGTGATGATGCTGATGATGGTGCGGATGATGTCAGATGATGCTTGTTCGCGGTGCCAGAAGTTAGATATGGAATGCCTGACCAACTGTGCACGAGGCTGGCGAGGGAAGCTGGCCTGCCAAAAAGCCTCGAGCGGGAGGCCTGTGTTCTCTGCCTTGTATGAAGAAGTTGTAAGGAAAGGAGGAAATGAAAAAAGGAGGAGGAGCGGAAAAGGAGGAGGAGGAAACAGCGTGGCTTGAGCCGAAGCGGTTAAGGAACAAGTGGCACCTCGCAAAGCCTCCTCTACAAGTAGCACAAGGTCAGATGATGTTTTTTTCACGGTGCCAGAGCTTAGATATGGAATGCCTGACCAACTGTGCACTAGGGCGGCGCGGGACGCTGGCCTGCCAAAAGCCTCGAACGTGAGGCCTGCGCGCTCTGCCCTATCCCACCCATCGTGCACTGGCAATTGTGGAGGCCAGAAGCGAACCGAAGGGTTCAGCACGATTTGTCCAAACACACACCGGTTGGGTCCTTACCCTCGAGCTTCCAGTGCGGCAGACCGGTGCGGCGACAGAGCAAGCTGGTGTATCTTGTCGTGAGCGAGCTGAGGGCAAGAACCGTGCCAACAAATTTGGTAGCCTTCCGCCACAGTTCACCGAACATGCAGAAATCTATACGGGCGGAAAAAAACAGTTGAGCTCAGCGAGCACCCGTTGCAACTCAGGAGCGACCCACAGTATGGAGCTGAGCGGGTTCTCGATAGTCACCGTGATACCTTTCTTTGAGGCCATCCCACAGGCCCTGATGACAAAATGATGAAAACATTCGCGGCAACAGCTTTGCGGAGTCCAAGGCCCTCGAAGTCAGGAAAACCCTAAGGAACAGCGTTAGATCGGAGGGGCGGTGGGCCAGACCCTCCTGGCCGTCTGGCCCGAGAGTGGGTCTGGCACGGACGAGCAAAGTGTAGATGGCAATACCTATGCTGGTGGATGCCCGACAACAGCCCCCGCTGAGGACCAGAACGGGTGAGGTCGCAAGACGAGCCGTCATTGATGTCCCATCCCTCACAAGGGATACCACGTCGAGCCAGCGCCTTGGCTAGCCTTCTGGAGCCAGCGAAGATCTCGACCACTTTCCGTTCAGTCTGCGCCCCTTTCTGACAGGCAGGATGTGGAGCGACATAGAACATCCATGGAGCCAGTCGTTGAGATGCTGGACGGCCAGTCGGCTGTAGGCCAGGGTCTCTGGAGGGGTCTTGTTGATCGCCTGCTGCACCTTCCCAAACTTTTCGCCACGTCGGACGGAGCTGAAGGTTCTCCAGCCTCCCGCTTCTGGATCTCGACGAGGTCGCGCTTCTTCAGCATGGCGTCCCTCGAGGCACCCCCGTGCCTGGCCTGGTGCGTGTAGAGCTGTTCGCACCCTGGGCGGCGAGGTCGGCCGCCCCCATCGAACGCGTCCTTGTACTGGCTGGTCGACAGGCGGAAGAGCAGCTCGCGCGGGTCCCGCCCCTTCGCCAGCTGGACCGAGTGAGGCGAGAGGGGCGCGTCGAAGTCCTCGATGGTGACGGTGTCGTCGAAGCTCCCCGTCTTGCGAAGCTGGCCCCTCTCCTCCAGTCGCGGCGCCAGACGCGGGCGGCGGTGGCCCTGGAGGCGGGGCGCAGGGGGCACAAGATCCGCAACCTGGAGCTCCGTGGCCTCCCCAGGACGGGCATGCGCATCGTGGCGCGTCAGAGGACAAATAGCAGCATCCCTGCGTTTGGTGGCCAGCAGGGCCCCGATATGGCAGCGGTCCATTCCCAGGGCAGCCCGAAGCGAGAGGCGCCAGGGGCTGCCTTGCGGAAGCCCTTCAGGGCCCTCCTCATCCGTGGGGGCGGGGGGACAGGCGGTAGTTGGCCCCCGCCCCCCGATGAACTTGATGGCCGCCAGGAACCGATCCGAGGCCGCCTCGTGGCCCTGGAAGTAGAGGGTGTTGAGGTAGACGACGGCCGCCGCGTCGCTATGCTCGTTCTTGATGAGCTGGATCTTCTCGCGGCTGGCCCACGCGGCGAACTCCGCGTGGCGCGTCCGGTGCGAGGCCGCGACCCCGGGCTGCGCCGAGGCCTGCTCGAAGACGCTGAGCTGGCGCGGGCCCCTCTCGAGCAGGAACGGCCCCGGTGTAGCCTCCCCCGCCGAGACCGCGCGCTTCGCCCGGCGGGCCTTCGCACGGTCCTGGCGGAGGCGGTCGGCGCGCCGAGCGGGCGGGTCGCCCCGCGGGGGGCGGGGCAGGCGTGCTGCGGGCGGAGACCCCGATCTCGATGAGCTCGTTGATGCTGTAGCGACGGACTGCCCGCCCTCCGCAGGAACTGGGGGCCGCTGGCGGCCCGCGGAGGGCCTCGCCGGTCTCGGCGCATCGCCAGGCACGGCCTTCGTTGACGCTGGAGTCTGAGTCTTTACTCGGGGAATCGAGGGTGGGAAACTCCTCACTGTGAGCCAGGTGGTTACAGACAGGAAAGAGTGTGACATATACGTCCGCAGTGCGCCCGTCCATGGGCAGAGGTTTCGAACATCCTGGAAGGCGAATCGGCGTGGTAAACTTCAGACGCGACCCGCCACCATCTGAATTTGCAATTGGGTGCGACTGTATAGGCTGCAATACTCCAGCAACATCCCAGCATGCGGTTGTCTCCACTGCGCCCCTTGAGGAAAGCCACAATAGGGCCCATCGAGTCCCCGAGGATGAAGTGCTTCTTGTTGTGTCTGCCCGCAGACCTCCCAATCGACTTACATGCCGTTCTCCCAGCGCGGGCCTCCAGTAGGGTAATGCGCTCGTTGCGGAGCCAGGGTTTTGACAAGACAGCGTGCCAGGGGTCCTTCTTGAACAACTTTGTGAGACTTTCTGCATTTTCGACCGCATCACGGAAGTGCCATAGGGCTCCAGCCCGCGCGCCTCTCGCGCGCGGGAGTCTGCGTGAAGCGCCACCGTTCATCGTGCTGGCTAACACTGACGATCAGATCCTCTGGGGAACTCCCCTGCGAGGCCCCATGGCCAGTCTCCGACGAGTCGAACATGTGGGCCGTGGAGCACCAGGGCCGTCGGACACTGGTGCGTGCGAAACGTACCAGAGCTGACATCCACTCGCACTCTCGCGCCGCCGAGCGCCGCGGGCGCACCATCTGCTTGCCGCGCGCCCTGACAAAGCTGTAGCACGAGCCGAAGATGCTCGAGAGGACCACTCCCCCATGTGCTGGAAAGTGCAGTAGCCCAGGAGACGCTCGAGCATCACTCCAGTGACCCTCGGGCGTCGGGCAAACCAGCGGCCCGCGGCGGCGAGGCGGGTAGCCCTCTCGGCGGTCGGCCCCACCTCGCCCGTCAGGCCGTCGATAGCGCAGCCGAGGCTCTCGGCCCAGAGGGAGGCGTCCTCCTCCTCGTGGACGGTGAACCCCTCGGCCGCGAGCTGGCGAGCGACGGCGATGCGGGCGCCGTTGGCCAGCTCGGGGGGGCGCGCGGCCGCGGCGCGGTTGTCGCTGCGCGGCAACGACGCGAGGCCGCGGGGTCCGACCGCGGGGCCAGGCCCACGATCCTGCAGCACCAGCCCAGCGATGTCGGGAAGCACCCCCTCGACCACTGAGGCGTGGACGATCTGCGCCAGAAAGAAACTCCAGCTGAAGCCCATGGGTAGCGCGCGAAAGGCGGGGGCAACGGCGCTCCTCGCGGAGAAATCGCTGTAGAAACTGTTGGGGCCCCCCAGCTCGGCGACGAGCTAGCCGGGGACGTCGCCCCGGCAAAAATAGCTGGGGAGCTCCTCATCGATGCCGCAGGCGTAGAAGTAATCCTTGATGTCCGAGAGGCTCACCCAGAGGTCGGTGTTGCCCCCCAGGAGAATCATCCCCCAGCTGGCGCCCATGCACATAGGTAAGTGAGGGCGCCGACGAAAGCGCTCGTTGGTAGCGCGACAGTCCACCGCCAGCCTCTGCTTGCCAGACTTCCTGGCCACGCAGAAAACAATGGCGCGCCCCCGTGCAACGGGCGCCCACCTGCGGAGGCCAGCTGCGTGGCATTCTCGGATGAACTGATAGTAAGCCTTCTTGGACTAGCGAAGCTTCGGATCCATGTTGTCTGATGGGATCCGCCTTCTCACGCGCGGCGCCCCACTCTTGATCGCCGAGCAGTCTGTTGTTTCAGGTCCTCTGGAAAATGACGAGCCTTCGCGGGCAGCGTCTCCTTGGCAAGGACGGACTCCGCCCCCGCGCGAGGGGTGCTGAGGCGGCTCCGGTCGCAGGTCTGCGCCGTGGTCGACTCGTCGCCGTGCGCGGAGTCTGTCCCGAGGGGCGCGAGCGCGGCCCCCTCGGAGACGAAGTCACCTTGCGGCACGTCGGCTGAAGGATGCACAGAAATAATGAATTATATTGCTTCACGCTGAACCATGGAGGGCGAAGAACGCGAAGGCAACGCGTGGCCGT